CATCATCCTTGGGCATCATCCTGTGGGCATCATCTGGTGTGATATCTCTTTCATTCACACTACTCATGGTTCCCCTCTTTTTGAGGTGCTGTCTCTTGAAAGCAAGTTTGGACTTGAATTACCATCTTATTTTTTGGAATCAATATGCATGTAAACACTTCCTTTGGTTAATACACCCTGCATACTATAAGGCAGAGGCAGTAGTAGCATGTTTGTTTCAGGATGAGATAGGACAATAGCATTGAGTTCCTTCATCACCAGAGTGGCCAATTAAAAAAAAATACAATCCAGGAATTCTACTTAAAGATTATAGAAGGTTAGCCTTACCAAGAGTGACATAAAGTGTAGGCATGTCTTTAGCAAGGCCTGCTACAAGAAGGTTATTTACACTCACACATAGAAGGGCATGTTACAAAAGGATATATACTGGTTTAGACCATTAAGAAAGCACCTTGTTCACACATGGAGGGCCCTAGGAAAGGGAAATAGTTAAGAACTCCTGGGTAAATGGGGAGGGTGAGTAGTGGGGAGGGGATAGAGGATGGGAGCATGAGGGGGAGGGATCCAGAGGGCGAGCAATGAAAGAAATAGAGGGGAACATTATGAGGTTAGGGAGAAACCAGGAGTTAGGGAAATTCCCAGGAATCCACAAGGATGACCCCCAGCTAAGACTCCCAGGTAGAGGGGAGAGTATTCTGAACTGGCCTTCTCCTATAATCAGATTAGTGCTTACCTAATTGTCAGCACAGAACCTACATCCAGTACTGATGGAAACAGATGCAGTGACCCACAGCCAAGCACTGTGCTGAGCTCCTGGAGCTTAGGTGAAGAAAGGGAGAAGAGAGCATATAAACAAGGGGTGGGGGAAGGTCAAGAGCATGGTTGGGAAAACCACAGAAACAGCTGACCCCAGTTAGTGGGAACTCATGGACTATGGACTGACAGCTGGAGTTCCTGCATGGAAACTAATTAAATCCTCTGAATGTGGGTGACAGTTATATGGCTTGATCTGTTGGGGTGGCCCTGGCAGTGGGAACAGGACTTACTCTAGGTGCATGAACTGGCTTTTTGGAGCCCATTCCCTATGGTGGGATACCTTGCTCAGCCTTGATGGGGAGTGGGGGAAAGGGACTTGGTCCTGCCAGACCTTACTCTCTTTGAGGAATAGATGGGACGGTGGGATAGGGGGGTGTGGGGTGGAGAAGGGGAGGCAAGGGGAACTGGGACTAGTATGTAAGATGAAAAAAAATTTAAAAAGAAAGCACCTTGTTAATTATTATTTAAATACCAATACCAGATATTTATTGGGGCTGACTATAGTACAGGAGTTCAGATATATTAAAGTATTGTTTATCCCTTAAGTTTTATAATAAAACTGAAAAAAATTTGTCTCAGTTTAGAAAAGAAAAAAATTATATTCAAACAGGTGAAGTAAGATCTAGAAGTGGGTATCCACTTTTAGGCATACAACATTACAAGGACATCTGTTCAACTATGTTCATAGCAGCATTATTTGTAATAGCCAGAACTTGGATGAGACCTAGATGCCCTTCAACTGAAGAATGAATAAAGAAAATGTGGTATATTTGCACAATAGAGTACTACTCAGCGGTGGCGGGTGGTGGAGACACAGGACAATGGAATCTTAAAATTCTCAGGCAAATGGATGGAAATTAAAAAAAAAATCCCGAGTGAGGTAACCCAGTCACAAAAAGACAAGCATGATATGCACTCACTCATATAGGGATATTAAACATAAAAAAAAGGATTACCAGCCTACAATCCACACCTCCAGAGAAGCTAGGAAGCAAGGAGGACCCTAAGAGAGACATACAGAGAAAGGGAAAGGGATAAGATCTCCTGAATAAATTGGGAGCATGGGAGGAGAGGAGAAGGAATTCAAAGAAAGAGAAGGGGAGAGGAGGATATGAGGGAGAAGGAAGATTGAGTCAGGGGAAAAATACAGGAGATCAAGATAAGAGATACCGTAATAGAGGGAGCCATTATACATCTAAAGAGAAATCTGGCACTAGGGAAATGTCCAGAGATCTACAAGGATGACCCCAAAGAACAATCCATGCAATAGTGGAGAGGCTACCTTAAATGCCCTTCCCCTATAATGAGATTGATGACTACCTTATATGCCATCCTAGAGCCTTCATCCAGTAGCTGGATGGAAGCAGAAGCAGATACCCACAGCTGAACTGGAATCCAGTTGAAGAGAGGGAGGAGTGATGAGCAAAGGGGTCAAGACCAGGCTGGAATAACCCACAGAAACAGCTGATCTGAACAAGGGGGAGCTCATGGACCCCAAACTGACAGCTGGGAAACCAGCATAGGACAGACCCACTGAATGTGGGTGTCAGTTAGGAGGCCTGGGCAGTCTATGGGGCCTCTGGCAGTGGATCAGTATTTATCTCTACTACATGAATGGACTTTGGGAGTCCGTTCCACACAGAAGGACACTCTCTCAGCCTACACACACAGGGGAGAGCCTAGGCCTTGCTCCAAATGATGTGACAGACTTTGAAGATCTCCATGGAAGGCCTCACCCTTCCTGGGCAGCAGGAAGGGGATGGGATGGGGGGTAGATTGAGGGCAGGGAAGGAGGGGAGGGAGAGGGAACAGGGGTTGACATGTAAAACAAGATTGTTTCTAATTTAAATTTTAAAATCATATTTAAAAAAAAAGAGCTACAATTGTGGGATTTAAAGCCTATGTCTTCTGTCGTTCTTTAACCAAGTGTAATTTTGAAAGATCTGAGTTAGTGAGGTTCCAATGGTTAGCACTCTGAACTCCGGAAGATCTGACTCACAATGCAGTCATGTCTATGATTTTTTTAAAAAGATATATGGAACTTCAAAGTTGTTTGCTTTTTGTCTTTTGATATTTTTTACAGTTAAAAAACCTACGTAATACCTAGACACATTTGATCTTTCATTTAAAAGGTACTACAGAGGATGGGGACATGGCTCAGTGACCAAAGTATTTTTCATGCTAAGTGCTGTGATCTGGATTCAGATCTCTAGCCCTTACATAAAAAGGTGGGTGCAGCTTCACACTTCTGTTGAAAGACCCCCAAAGAGGTACTTTCGTAGAAGGAGACCCGCACCCAGGAATCAGCGAGACCACAGGCTTGGATGAAAACCGCAAGAGGTTTTATTACCCGGGGGCGACTTAGCTTCTGTGTGGCTAAGCGCGCCGAGCCAAGGGAAAGGGGTCCTTATATAGGGAAAAAGGCGCAAGTTAGAAGCAGGGATTCTATTGGATAATTCTAATGAGGCATTGTACAGAGCTATTCCCATTGGTCAATGTAAATGAGGCGCTATACAGGGTTATTCAAATGAGGCGCAGTACAGAGTTATTCAAATGAGGTGAAACACAGAGTCTTTCAAATGAGGCGAAATACAGCCGGTCCACCTGGTGCTTGTTCTCGGGCCGGGCGTGCGGCGGGTGGCGGGGGAAGGCCGCCGGGGGGGGGGATCAGGGAAGCCGCCTACAGGAGGAAGAGGAGACAAACTTGAGAAAGAAAGGGCTAAGGGGCAGGGGTCTTTCACTGTAATCCCAGTTGCAGAGAAATGGAGACAAGAGGATCCCACAACTCTTGCTTGATCAGTTTAGCCAAATTGATGACCTCCAGGTTCGATGGAAGATCATCTTTTTTAAAATAATAAGATGGAGAATGATAGAATAAGATACCTAATGTCACCTCTGGCTTCCACACACCAGTGTAGACATGCACATACACCTCCCTCACACCTGCACAAACACAAACACATACATATGTATACACCACACACATATACATTAGAAATGTATGTTCAAAAAAGGGGTGAAATAGACAGGGAATATTCACAACTAAACATATTATATATGGACTTATTATTATCCTGAAAAATTATATTTCTAAAACAAACATTTTCCCCATAGCTTTGGAGGCAAAAAAAAAAAAAAAAACCTTATAGCCAACATCAAAGCATTTCACTCTCTGTTCAGTATTATTTTCATAGGTTGTCCCAAGTTTACTTAAAAAAATACTCTATAAACTTTTGGTCTTAATAGGTTTATGAGAACATCAAACTAAATGGAGAGAAATGCAAAGTGATTCCTCTAAAATCAGGAACAAGACAAGGCTGTTCACTCTCTCCATATCTCTTCAATATTGTACTTAAAGTTCTAGCTAGAGCAATAAGACAAGAAAAGGCAATCAAAGGGATACAAATTAGAAAGGAAGAAGTCAAACTTTCACTATTTGCAGATGATATGATAGTCAAAGTAACCTGAAAAACTCTACTAGGGAACTCCTACAGCTGATAAACATAGAAGAGAGCAGCATACCATATCAGAGAGAGCCATTATAGGTCCGGGCAGAGATCTGGCACTAGGGAGATTTCCAGATATCTACAAGTATGACATGAACTGACAATCTAGGCAATGTTGGAGAGGATAGCCTAAATGCCCTTCCCCTGTGATGAGACTGATGACTACTTTTTTATGCCATCCTAGAGTCCTCACCCAGTGGCTGATGGAAGCAGAGGCAGATACCCACAGATATACACTGAACTGAACTCTGGAACCTAGTTGCAGAGAGGGAGGAAGGAAGATCAAAGGGGCTGGGACCAGGCTGGGGAAACCCACAGAAACAGCTGGCCTGTACAAGGGGGAGCACATCGATCCCAGACTGCTGTCTGGGAGGCCAGCACAGGACTGATCCAGACCCCTGAACATGGATGTCAATGAGGAGGCCTCTGCACTCTAAGGTGCCCCTGGTAGTGGATTAGTATTTTTCCCTGATGTAAGAAGGGATTTTGGGAGCCCATCCCACGTCTAGGCCTGGATACATGGGGGAGGGCCTAGGCCCGGCCCAGGATGATGTGGACTTTGGTGAGCCCCCATTGAGGGCCCTACCCAGCCTGGGGAGTAGAGGGTGGATGGGATGGGGTACAGGTAGAAGGTTGGGAGGGAGGGTTGAGGAGGAGGGGAGGGAGAGGGAGGAGGGATTGACATGTGAAGCAAGCTTGTTCCTAATTTGAACTAAAAAAATTACAAAAAAAAAGTTTGTGAGGAGTGCAAAAGCAACAGTTTTTGATAAATTACCAAACTTCTAGGTACACACTCAAGTCTATTTCTGTTTCTACCACACAGCATCAGACAAATTGGTCTCCTATCCATTTCTGTTTTTTTATTTTCATTTGAAATATCTCCATTCTTGCTAATCAGTAACCTTTGTGTTAGTCCATATTCTCCAGAGGAGAAACAACAGACTTAGAAGAATAAAAGATTTATTAGAGAAGTTGATTTGGATGATTATGGAGGCTAAGAATTCCCCCCAAAGATCGCATCTGCAGCACAGAGGCCATGGGATGCCAGTACAAGGCTGGAATCTCAGAACAAGGCAAACTGATGATGTCACTCAGGCCAAGACCAGAAGTCTGAAGATCCAGGAGTGCCTGGTGTAAGTCATCACTTTTGGAAACTCACAGACACAACCTGAGATGTTGTATCTGTCTTCTAGGCATTCCTTAATCTACTTAAACTGATACCTGAAAGGAAACATCATTGTGTCTCTGCTTCATATATTTTGTACTGTTTTCTACACTCTGCATACAGAACCATCTTGTTCTATTGTCAATAGACTTTCATAGCAGTAATAAACATCTTAAAGTAAAAACTAGGTGAGTTCCCTTCTCATAGAAGTGTTTGACTAATTCCATCATGTTGGGACAGGTTTAGTTCTAAAGCCAGATTTTGAAAAGTGACTTTAAATAATAGATTCAGATATACAGGAAAATTAATAAGATAGAAGAGAGAATTCCTACAAAGCCTGTACCCAGTCTCTGCTATTAACATTGCATGCCATTAGTATGCTGAACATTTGTCACAATTAACTAGCAGATAATGATATATGGTTATTAGATGAAATCCACCGTAATTTACCTGTCCTCAGATCTTACTAAATGTCTTTTTCAAAAGTCCCATGATCTCTTCCGTAATACCACATCAGCCCTCATGATTCTCAAGGCTCCTGTTGACTGTGACTATTTCTCTTGTTTTTGATCACCTTAATGGGCCTGAAAATTGGACATGTGTTTGACTGGATTCTCCATTACTGGAATTTTGGGTTTTCTTGGTTAGACAGAATTTATGAATCTTCAAGAGAAAGCGCTAAGCCAAAGAATGTCATTTTAATCACATCATATCAAAGGTATCCATAGGAACAAAATCAACCATTGGTGATCCTCACCTTACCTAGAGCAGTGTTTTCAGATTTGTCTGTCATCAGCTCCTTCCCCTGCTTCCTGTTCAGCCTGTGCTATTTTGAAGAAAGTCACCAGGACTCATACCTAGATAGTAAGGATTAATAATAGTCCCCCTCATTGAGGACAGAGGAGCAACATAAATAACTAGGGATTGTTCTGAAAATAATGTTGCTTATTTTGTGCCATTTATCCAAATGTTTGTTGGCATAAGAATAGAATTACAGATATTTGGTTATTTGTGTTATAGTTTCAAACTGCCTTAGTTTTGCCCTCAAGAGATTGCTTTACTCTTGGATGTTGGTCTTTGGCTTGGTTATGGAGTTTTTGTTTTGATACAACTTATTGGTAGAGGAATTTCCTTTTTTTCTTTTTATTTATTTTTATATATTTGAATTACAAACAAGATTGAATTACATGACGATCCCAGTTCCCTTCTCCCTCCCTTCCTCCTCTACCAACCCCCAATTAAAATCCTACCTGTCATATGTCCTTTCTTCTAATCTACACCTGACTCAAAATTTCTGCTGCCTCATGACCTTGGCATCCTTCCTTTTCTTCCCTTCTCACTCTCGTAGCTTCCTCCCCCTTCTTCCCATGTTCTCAATTTGCTCAGGGGATGGTGACCCTTTTCCCTTCTCCAGGGGACAAAGTTGGTCTCTTTTAGGGTCTTCTTTGTTTACTATTATCTCTGGCAGTGTGGATTGTAGGATGGTAATCCCTTACTCTATGTCTGAAGTCCACATATGAGTGAGTACATATCATGTTTATCTTTTTGTGATTCCTCAGAATGGTTTCTTTTCCATCCATTTTCCTGCAAATTTCAAGATTCCATTATTTTTTCTGCTGAGTAGTACTCCATTGTGTAAATGTACCACATTTTCTCTATCCATTCTTCGGTTGAGGGGCATGTAGGCTGCTTCCAGTTTCTGGCTATTACAAATAATGCTGCTATGAACATGGTTGGTTACTTTTATTTAATTGATTTTATTGGATTTTTTAAAAATATCACTTCCTTAGTCTCTGGTACTGTAGGATAGATAATCTCAAACTTATGGTGTATATTTTGTGCCTCAGGACAAGAAAACCTTTTCTCCAAATAGCCCTTGTGTTTCTTATTAGCAAATGGTACTGGGGTCTGATGTGAGTGCTGTCACTTATTGCTACTAGGATGCTGTTGTTTCTAGACTCTGTTTGCTGACATGTCAAAGAAGTACAAACACATATATACTCACAAGCATGCTCATATCAATAAATGTTTCTATCTGTGAAGATCTATGTCTTTATTAAGCTGCAGAGATCTCATACCAATGTATGTGATTCTGATTTATTACTATGTGAATCAATCTTGCTTCCTCCTTCTGTGTATCTGTAAATTCACACTCCAATAGTAAAACACCTGGTGCCTTCCAACTGCCATCTGCTTTATATATATAATAATCCAGACACCATGATCACAGGACTTTGTGTAATTCCTTTGCCTTTAGTCATGAAGCCTTCACATCAATTACCTTTTAATTCTCTTAGAATTTTTAAAACATAATGTTATTTTCAGTGATATGTAAGAATTCATAAATTAATAGAGCAATATGGTGTTTCAATGCATGTATATATTGTGTCATGTTTTGGCCAGATTAAACCAACTATCACTGCACACACTCACCTTTCCCTTATTGTAAACCTTTTAAAATCCTTTCTTCTTGCTTTTTCTAAAGTACCATATACGAGCCCTGTCTCTGTTTCTGAGCACTGCTCTCCCCGAAGTCCTTTAGGAGGGTCCTTGCACACTTGTAATCCAGAGAAGTGCTCCTGTCATAGTCAGCCTTCCTTTATGGGATACTACAATTTTTTTCTGAATAGTTTTGAGAATTTCAAAATAGACACTCTATGTTCTAAAGGTACATAAGTTTTGAGAAAATACATAATGTTTGGCATATAGATAATTTAATTGTTGTAAACCTCTTTGCTTTACCCAGTCAATTTTTCCCCTTCAATCAAATGCCTATTAATCAACAGTGTTTTTCCTGACTCTTCTTTTTGCCTTTCCTACAATGATATGTGTGGAATTGTGAAGTATGCAATATTGTCAAACTGGCTGCCTTCAGTTAGCCATATGCATTTAAGGTTCTGTCATATTTTGATATCTTCATATATCACTTGCTTTTATTGCTGTATAATATTCCATTGTACTGTAGTTTTCTATTTTGTTAATTCATCACTTGAAAGGCACCTTGCTTACTCCTGTTCTTTGGAATTTAGGAATAAAGTTGAAATATACACCTGTGTGAATATAAGTTATCAAATCAGTTGAGAAAGATGTAGGAATGTAATTTCTGGATCTTATGGTAAGACTAACTTTGTGAAAAACTATCAGGTCATATTCCAAAGAGGCTTGATGCCCCTCCAGCAATGGCTCAGACTTCTTGCCCTAAAACCTTTGTAGTGTTGTTTCATGTTTGGAGTTTATTCAAATTAGTTAATAAGGGTGCCTCTTTATTGTTTAACTTTATAATTCTCATGTGATAAATGATGTCGAGCTTCTTTTCATATGCATGTTTTCTATCTCTTCATCATCAGTGAAGAAATGTTTGCTTGGGTCTTTTGTGAATTTCAGTTGTTTACTTATTGTTATGTATTACAATTCATCTTTATATTTTGGATACAAAGCCTATGCAAGTTTTGTATTTTATGAGTATTTATCCAAGTCTGTCTTCTTTTAGATGAATTCTCTTAATAATGTCTTTTATAAAGCAGATTTAAATTCCAGGTGTGTGTGTGTGTGTGTGTGTGTGTGTGTGTGTGTGTGTGTGTGTGTGTGTGTGCGCGCGCACACACACACACATGTGCCACATCATATTTGTGGTAGTCAGAGGACAAGTTGTGGGAGTCAGTTTTCTTCTTCTATCATCTAAGTACCAGGCTTCGAATTCAGGTTGTCAGGTTTGGTAGCAAGTGCTTTTACTCACTGAGCCGTCTCAATTGTCCATGTTTTCGTTACCGAATCTTGGCTTTGGTACTTAACTCGAAGTTCATTATTAAGCTCAATGTCTCTTAGATTTTTCTCTTGTATTTTGCAAAAATTCTTGACTTGTGTATTTTATATCGAATATATGGTTCATGTGGAATTTTTCTGAAAAGTGTACATTGTATGTCTTGATAATGCTTAGGCAAATAGACATCCAGTGTTGAGTACTATTTGTTGAAAAGGCTACAAAGTACGTGTTCTGCATTGAAGTGATTTCCTGTTACTGTTGGGAATCAATTAAATATTTAGCAAAATAGGTTCTCTTTATCTGGGCTCCCTCTTAGATTCCACTGATGTCTGTCCTTTCAACAATTCTCAGAACTTGATCATCATATTTTTATCTTAAATCCTGAGGTTGGATAGTATTGGTCTTCCGACTTGGCTCTTTTTCTACTTTATATTGACTATTCAGGGTCTTTTGCTTTTCCACATGTAATGCTTTTAATATGTCTCCCCCAATTTTTTTTGTTGGAAATGTAATCACAATGTAGGAGTGTTGGGAGATCAGGCACAACAGGTGATATTTAGGTTGTAAGTACCTACTATCTTAAATCTATTAAATCCATTAGAAAAAGAACTTACAAGAGTTTGTTAGCTCTCTTATGTACTTGTCCTTCTGCCTATTGCCATGTGACAGTGGAGTAAGAGGCCCCCTACTAGTTTCTGCTCTCTCTACCTTAAATCAAGGAAACAAATGTTTTAATTCCTTACAAATAATCTAGTCTTATATATCCTGTTATGCCAACACACAGTGGACTAAGTCACCACATAAACATATGTACATGGATAGCTACAAAATAGCTTGCAGAAAATTTAATTTGGATTATGTTGGATGGATGTATGAACAGGGAAGAATATGTGTCTTATCAATATTGTCTTTTAAGCTGTAAACATCCAATCTTCTTCCCAACTTTAGCTTTCCATTGGTTTCTTTCATCAGAATTCTATAGTCTTCTACATGTGCCCATGCATTTATTTTAAAAGATTTATACTTTTAAAGTTGCAAAATTTTCTTGTGTGTGTGTGTGTGTGTGTGTGTGTGTGTGTGTGTGTGTGTGATGTATGTGTGTTGGCACATGTGTGGGCCCAAATGTGTCTGCATGCATATAATGGATGAAGATTGACACTGGGTGTCTTCACCCTGTATATTGAGACAGGGTTTCTCACCACAGA